AATGAAGCCTTGGGTGCAATTTAAATTGAATTGTGCGAAATTAAGCAAGCTAGTGTATCTCGGGAGAGTGCAATAGTAGATTACTGTGATTACTCGGGAGAGATTTGCGGTAAGATTAGCGTTCATGATTGATAGAGATGTGTGGGTAAATTTGTATGAGCATAAACAGAAGGGATTTCATCAATAGGGGAAATCATTGCCTTAGCTTTTTCTCATAATTGTTTACAACCCTTCTAATTTAGTTATAGCCTTTTATTTACTTGCAAGTTAGTTATTAAAGAACAATCAACTGAGAATTTGAATATTTGGGAAGCTGGTTCTGAAGACTTGGTGGGTCTGAAGGTAGCAGTTGATAGGTTAACTCTCTGTGGGGTTCGACTCCGGACTTGTAAACCGGATTATATTTGCAGCGACCGCATTGTCCTTTTATACAGTATAGTTGGGCGTGATCAACGTACTAGGAGTCTTTTTTTTTTTTTTTGGGTTGAAACATTGCAAATTAACATTAGACTTCCAGAAACATGTAGGACAAAACGAATAAATAAAAATTATAAAAAAGAGAAAAAGAAAAAAAAGAAAGAAAGAAACAAAGAAATGATTAAAAATGTGAGGATATTTCATATAACTAAAAAAACACTTTTTATTCCTTTTAGGTTTAGGAGTCTTTAATCTTTAATAAAAAAGTTTCTTTGTCTATTTGGAATATAATACAATTTTAACTTACATAAATCTTTTTCTTACCGAAATATATACCAAAAGACTTTTATAAAAAGAAGCTACTCTCTACAAAAATGCCATCTAATATTTTCATAACAGTTAGGTCTTTAATTAATTAAAGTTTGATTATTAAATATTTTCTTATTTTAACTATAGAAGAATTTTAGTATTTAAGAATTTAATATCGAGTAAGATTTTAGATAAACTAATATTTAAAAATTTGAAGTTCATTGTGAATTACCTAGACAATCATTTTCATAATAAGTTAAAACAAAAGAAGAGGATACACGATACATGATAGATCACTGACCTTTTAAAATTATCTAGGTTATTTTCATGTTTAGCTAGGTCATGCACTCCTTTGTTGACTAAGTAATCAATATTTTTTATTTTCAAATAGTTATATAAAAAATTAGTTAAAAACTCAACCATTTTATTAATAATATTTGTGTAATTTTAAAAAATTTATACTTACTGATATTGAGTAGGGTACACGCGCATCGCCCGTATCCTAAAACTAGTATAATATTAAATGTATAATTTGATACCTTACAAGTTTATTTGTGAGTATTTATCTGGATTTTTTAAAAATAAATTTGAATATTATAATCCTTTAATTACACTTCATGCAGTCCTATCGAATTTTTGAGTAATAAAAAGGATACTGTTATGATGAAAGAGAATGAGTGATAATTTAATTATGAGAGAGAATTGGGAATAAATTGATAACGATAACTGATGCCTTAATTCGAGATCATTATTTAACTTTAAAACCTGTTTGCACGTAAACAATCTTGAAGATGTTATAAATGTTAATAAATTTATTATTTTTAAAATGAATCAAAGGTGCTGCTCTTTATTAAAATAACTTTTTATTAATGACCAACAATGTAAAAATCTCATTGGGGGGATTATGATTTTCAGCCCACTCGTGAAAGTACCCTTTTTTTAAGGGCAAAAACATAAATATGCAAGATTTAAGAAATTTTTAATAATTCTAGCAGCATTCGTTAATTAACAAAGTATGTCAACGAAAGATTTACTTTACTTAACAAAAACTTATAAAACTGGAATATCCATCTATGATCTATCCACCAGTTTCTCACCCCTCAAAATTAAGAATCATGCATGCTAATTTTAAGGATCTGTTTAACTTTTTTCCCTTAAAAAAGAAACATTGTGGCCTCAAGTTTTTTATTTTTGGAATTCAAATAAGGATAATATACATTCTATTTTAACATGTACATTTGTAAAAACTTTCTATTTTAGGAAGATTCCTCCGGTGGAAAAACGCTCTCTAGGTCTGCGCATGTTAGTCAACGACTGTTAACGTGCGCCATCAACCATGGCTCGGCGGAGTAAGCAAATTCCGACGACGTCAACACCATCCACTGAACAGGAAGAACCCATTAGGGTAATTACACCAGAAAATGGAATCCCTCAGGACTTAGGGCCACGGCAATTTGGTCAATGGCTAACAGGAATGGGAAGTGCTCCAACGATCTTACAAGGACAACCTCCGGTGGAAATCAATACTCTTGTAGAACAAGAGGAAGGCACATCCTCAGCGGCAGCAGCAAGAAAGCTTACCTTCTCCGCAACAGAGAAGATGAGAAAACCTACGGTAGCTGAAGTTGTGCAAGGTAACAGATCTCAACAATTAGGGATGAAACTTGAATATTTTCCCCCAATAATGAGAGATGGGAGGAAGATAGTGAAATTAGTCCAAGCAGAAGTTGAAGAAGAGTGTCAGAAATGGAAGTCAACTTTAATTGGATATGTAATTGGGGGAAACCCTACATTCAAAGAAATGCTGAAGTATGTATATGGGGTGTGGAATTTTGTCATGACTCCTCAGGTATTTCTGCATAATGACGGGTATTTTATCTTCCGATTTATGTCTGAGAATGATAAGGAGACCCTATTATAGAATGGACCGTTCACCTTCAACAATAGGCATATGGTTCTCAAACATTGGGAACTAGATTTTCAGATGAGCAAGGAACCGATCTAGGTCATTCCAATATGGGTTACACTTCCAAATCTGCCTGTTGAGTACCGGGCACCAAGAAGTTTGGGTCGAATTGCGAGCAGTTTGGGGAAGCCAATATGCACGGATAAACTTACAACCAAAGGAGAAAGAGTGTCCTACGCACGTATTCTAATTGAAATGGATGTATCAGCTGAACTTCCGGAAGAGATATCAATTGAACTACCAGGAGGAAAATGCAAACTGTAGAGCATTGAGTACGAGTGGAGACCCCTATACTGTCAAAGCTGTTTGAACATAGGGCATAAGAATGGTGAATGTAAGCAGGACACACTTGAGAAAGGAAAACAACAAGTGAATAGAAGGAAGATGAAGATGGGCTGGAGAGTGAAAGTGAATCAACAGACTGGTAAGACAGTCACAGCTGTTGAGCAACAAGTTGATTCAGAAATGCCAAAAGAAGTAGAAGAACCAGCTGAGGACCAGAATGAGAAGGAACAACAAGAGAGTCTGGACTTCCAGGTGCAACAGCCCAAGAACAGGGGTAAGAAGAAACTAGCTATTTCTCATGATCATGAAGGACAAAATCAGCTGTTTGAAGACAGTGATAAGATTGAGAGGTTGCTGAGGCAGAATCAGTTTAGTGCTCTTAGAATTCAACCAATGATAGTCACTTCAAAAGTGATAAAGGATCAGAGTCCTCCGAAGAAGATACCTCCATGATATTCTGCTCATGGAACATAAGGGGGCTGAATAAGCCCTTTAAGCAGAAAGAACTCAAGACCTTCCTGCTTACAAACAAAGTAGCCCTAATAGGTTGTCCTGAGACTAAAGTTAAAGCTAACAGAGCTGAAAAAGTTAAGAAGAAAATGGGGAATGATTGGGAAATAGCTACTGACTATACCCAAAATCCAAATGGTAGAATATGGATTGGTTGGAAACCTCAACAAGTGGAAGTACAAATTGTAGAATCTTTGCCTCAACTTGTGCATTGCATAGTAAAAGACAAGGGATCAAACTTTACTAGCCAGATAACTTTTGTTTATGGCTTGAATACCATAAATGAAAGGAAGGCATTATGGCAAGGGCTAAGGAATCTGAGTAACAATATAACTGACCCATGGATTGTGCTAAGGGACTTCAATGCTGTCCTTTCTGTGAATGATAGGCAAAATGGTATTCAGTTCACCCAAATGAGATTAAAGATTTCCAGGAATGTATTGAAGACATAGGGCTTGGACAACTAAAGAGAACAGGGAGTTTATTCTCATGGAGTAATAAGAGAGATGCACATGTCAGTATCCACAGCTTTATAGATTGGGCTTTTGGGAATGCAAAATGGTTCGACAGCTGTTGATATTTGAAAATAGTCTACCTTAATCCAGAATATTCAGACCACTCTCCTATTATTGTTAACACTGGGAGGATCAGACAAAACCTTCCTAGGCCATTTAGACTACTCAACACTCTTCTCCAGAATGAGGATTTCAAGGCAGCGATCAATACTACATGGCAGTATAAAGTTCCTGGGTGCACTATGTACGGAATATGCAAAAAGCTCAAACTTATTGAACTAAACACAAGACATCTCCAGAAAGAGGTATCCAATTTGGAAAGGAAGGTTGAAGACACTCGAGGGAGGTTGCAAGACATTCAACTAATGCTGAATTCTGACCTCTACAATCCTAATCTGGTTCAAAAAGAGAGAGACCTGATCCTTGAACTAGAAAAATGGTCTAACATACATGAAGAGGTGCTGAGGCAGAAGTCTAGGGCTGTATGGTTAGCAAAAGGATACTCAAATACAAGATATTTCCATGCACAAATGAAGACTAGACAAGCAAGGAACCATATCTCTTCAATTTGTAACGACCAAGGGATTATGCTGACTGATCCAGGCCAAATACAGTGTGAATTTATTAGTTTTTTCCAAGAGTTGTTGGGCACTAAGGCGGCAGAATTACCTTGTTTGAACAGCACCATTGCAAAAGATGGGTACTGTCTCAATAAGGAGGAGCAGCAGGGGTTGATTAAACCAGTGACTAAGGAAGAAATTATACAAGCTCTGAGAGATCTACCAGCTGACAAAGCCCCTGGGGTAGATGGTTTTCCTGTTTAATTCTTCAAAGCTAACTGGGATGTAGTGGGTGATGATGTTATAACAGCCATTCTCCAGTTTTTTGAGAATGAAAAGCTACTTAAGGAGATAAACAATACAACTATTACATTGGTGCCAAAAGTCCCTAATCCTACTCATGTGAAGGAGTTTAGGCTTATTGCATGTTGTACGACTATGTACAAACTGACAGCTAAGGTGATCACTAACACACTCAAGCAAGTAGTGGACAAAATTGTTGGGCCAGCACAATCAGCTTTCATCGAAGGAAGGAATATCTTAGATAATGTGATTGTGGCGCATGAACTAGTCAAAGGTTACAACAGAAGAGGAATATCCCCTAGATGTCTAGTGAAAGTAGATATCAGGAAAGCTTATGACACCGTTGAATGGGATTTTTTGAGAATGGTCTTATTAGAATTTGGAATTCCAGTCCAGTTTGTCAAACTCATCATGGAGTGTGTTTCAACTGTGAGTTACTCTATTATCTTCAATGGAGGACTCACCCCTAAATTCCAAGCAAAGAAAGGGCTGCGACAAGGAGACCCTATGTCACCATTCCTGTTCGTTTTGACAATGGAGTATTTGAACAGATCCTTGAAACAGCTNCGTTTTAGACAATGGAGTATTTGAAACAGATACCTTGAAACAGTCTGAACCTAAAATCCCAACTTTAATCATACATCCAAGATAGCAGGAAAATGAAGCTAACCCATATTTGTTTTAGCAGATGACTTACTAATGTGCTGCAGGGCTGATAGTAATATCTATTCAGTTGATGATGAAGGCTTTTAAACATTTCTCTGCAGTCTCATGCTTAAAAGCAAATATGGAAAAAAGTTCTCTGTACATAACAGGGGTGGATCAACAGTTGCATAATAAAATCTATGATGAAATGCACTTTGCAATGGGAGAGATTCCTTTCAAATACCTTGGTGTTCCCTTGTCATCAAAGAAAATAACAGTCCAACAATGTATGCCACTGGTGGAAAGAATGATTGCAAGGATCAGATGTTGGACGCAAATTTCTGTCATATAGTGGTAGACTGCAGCTCATTAAAAGTGTCCTTTTTGAGATCCAAACATATTGGTCGCAGATTTTCTTGATACCAAAGAAGGTGATGCAGCTAATAACAAGTGCCTGTAGAACATTCTTGTGGACTGGACAATGTGCAACATCCAGAAGAGCACTTGTTGCATGGGAGAGACTATGTATGCCAAAATTAGCAGGGGGCTTGAACATAATTGAGTTTCAGACTTGGAATAAAGCTGCCCTTTCAAAACTGCTATGGGCTATCGCAGCAAAGAAAGATACTCTTTGGGTTCAATGGATCCACAGTTTCTATATAAAGAGTAGAAACATCAATGAGATGGAGACACCTAAGCAAGCTTGTTGGGTTGTTAAGAAAATCTTTGATGCAAGGAAATGGTATGGGAGCAATGACTTGTGCACAGAACTACAACAACTCACTCATGCTGGGAAGTTCATGATCAAGAAAGCTTATGATTACCTACTTCCTCAGTACCTACTTCCTGAGTTATATGGAAAAAACTCAACATGATTCCATGTTCTGTACCAAAGTATCAGTTTATACTTTGGCTTGCACTTCAAAAGAGACTCAGTACAACAGACAGAATGGCTAAATGGGGAATACAAGTTCCTAGGAAATGTGTACTATGCAGAACTGATGCTGAAGAAACACATTCACATTTGTTTTTTGCTTGTGATTATTCAAGACAGATTTGGAGTTCTTTCTTATCCTGGACAGGAGAAAGCAGTCAAGTAGGGAACTGGGAGGAGGAGATTGAGAGATTAACGACTAAACAATGCAACAGCAAAACTCATGCAGAGGTACTAGGATAGTTACTAGCTGCTACTGTTTATCATGTATGGAATGAGCGCAATGCTAGACGATTTCAAAAACAGCAGCAGGAATGTGTCTCAAGACTGAGAGAGATTACCATTCAATTACATAGGAAAGGACAGATTAGAAACAAGTGAAAAAGAGTACTTGATAGATTAAACTCATACCCAAGTCTAATATAGACTTACATTGTAATAGATATATAAAGGGGGGGGGGGGTAAATGTAAGGAAGACACAAAGATTAGGACTAGTTCTAGAGTCAAAAAGAACTAGTGGATGTACATATTATACTGGTTGAATAAAAATTTTATTGTTTGACCAAAAAAAAAACTTTCAAATGGGGTAGAGTGAGAAGTTCTCCCCTCTCTCTAATATTTCTAAACCATTTCCTAAGACCCTTACAACATTGCCAACCTTCAACTCCAAATGACCACCTGCACAACAAGCTGCCCAAGCAAAAGAATAACTCCTACTCCCCCTCCATAATCAATCTCCATGGAAGGGCTAACCCCCCCCCANGCTACCCCCCCCCCCCCTCCAGCCCCAGAAACTACCCAGAATAGAACCCTAACGGAAGTGGAGATGAGCCCAGGTCACTCTAACGACCTCACAAACGCGATGAACTACCCTAACACCAGTAACACAAAGAAAATGTCCTTCCTGGACACCCTAAAATCGAACCAAAACTGTGACCAAGACAGTAATCAAATCACAGTGCAACGTAACATAGACCTATACGAACCTGAGGATGAAATCAACAACTACCCAGATCCCGTTCTCTTCATCCCAATCACTTCATCTGATAAGGAACAACTCTACAAGAACTGGACCAATGCCCTCATTGTTAAAATGTTTGGTAGACGAGTGGGGTACCATTTCCTTCAAAAGAAACTGCATGCAATATGGAAACCTACGGAGACTCTATCTCTTATTGATCTAGGAAGTGACTACTACTTAATAAAATTCACAAAGGGAGGAAAATTATAGGAAAGTGCTACATGAAGGCCCGTGGTTCATTGGTAACCAATTTCTTACGGTTAGAAAATAGGAGCCCAGATTTGTAGCTTCAAAAGCCGCCCTGACATACTCAGCTATTTGGGCAAGGCTCCCGAAACTTCCTACCGAATTCTATGACTATGACATATTGCAAAAAATTGGCGAAAAACTAGGACAACTAATACGAATAGATGTTTGCACAAAATCTGTGATGCGAGGCAAATATGCCCGTCTCTGAATCTTAGTTCCCATAGAAAAACCACTCAAAAGCTACATTGTTATTGGAAAAACACATACAAAACATTACATATAAAGGTTTTAATCTCCTTTGCACAAGTTGTGAAAGGCTTGGCCATGGCCAAAACCAATGCCCACATCAAATCTCTAAAGCAAAAAGCACCGAGCAGCCAAGACCAATCCCATGGACAAACCCATGAACAAAACCAATTAGAGAGCATCACACACCAAATTGACCACTGGACCATAGTATCACACAAAAAAATTAAAAAACCGCCCAATTACCCCCAAAACCCTAACCCTAGCAGCAGCGAGGGACAAAGTAGGGCTATCTCAAATCATATTCTCAGCCAAATACAACGGAAACAAACAAGCCCAGATTCCACCCTTTGCCAACCTAGCAACCCTAGGATCGATCCTACTACAAAACCAACGAATATTACCCCAAACCCTAAGGACATCTCACCTCGACCAAAAACAAATACCTCTGCTGACTCTAAAGACATAGTTGACCTAGGCAGTAAGTTTAGTCCAAAAAATATTAACATTATCGGCACCTCACCCCTTTTCCCAATGGACCAAAACTTGAACAACCTAAATAAGGAAACACACCTCATCAATGATAGCATTTACTCACAAGAACCCTTGGGCATTAATACCTCCCAAACACAAGACCATACCCATATATCACCTAGTGTGACGGCAAGAGATGACAAAAAGGAGCAAATCATGGACATAGACCCTTCCTTTCCCACATCCAATCAATTCTCCTCATTAATGCAAGGCTTAATTAGAACACAAATTCAGTCTGTTATCCCATCCCAAAAGCCCAGTAAACTTAAGGAAATCAACTATAGTACAAAACACCCCTTCACCTTATCAATCCCTAGTCTCAATCCCATTAATGCACAAGACAAGTTGAAAGATATGAAGAGAGAAACGGCTGCCAAAGTCCAGGCCCCAAACACATTGGACCCAAACACATTAGACATTGATAACTCGTTACTATATATTAACAAGAGCCTTAACTCCCTTCCTCTACAAGACACAACCCCTATTAACGATAACATACACAATGCCAAGGCTTCTACCCACCAATTACAATAGGAGATACCCAAGGTCTCGGAGGTACGTGTGGACACATCCACAGAATGTATCTTAACCCCAAACCCCTCTTCTCTTCACCACAAGGCCCATCCAAGCGGATCATGCACCGCAATCATGGCTGGAATGGGGACTAATGGGCCAAGCCTTGAACATAAAAAAGTCTAACTTTGCTAACTCCCCCTTCTCAACAAGCCTACAACTAGAAGGGAAAGACATCATAGTCCAAATAGGAGACCCAAGCTACCTAGCCCAGATAGTAGCGGAAGGACTCCAACTAGGGCTAAACAACATCATGATTCGACCATGGATGCACTCCAATCATCTCCACCCCTACCCATACCCTACGACACCAATTCTAGTCCCCCATCCATCACCATGGAGTCAACAAACATGGCCTCACCCCAACACTCACAATCTAACAAATCTGAACCTACCCCTTTGTCCAAACCCTACCCATGCACCCCAACCTGCACCACCCCAGCAGACGAACCAACACACTGTCCAGCCCCCAAACTCCAGCAGCAACAACCAGAAAACTACTCCCCATGCAGCAACTCCATCCCCCAGCAAACACAAACCAAACAATGATGGAAGAGGGGGAAGAAGAGAACGCTACCCCAAACGAACGAATAGTGGAGCACGAAGTGTTACGATACTAAAAAACAATGGTGTTCAAGGCAAGAAAAGAAAAAAGATCTATCTTAAGTTGCCCGGTGGATTTGAGGAGGTGCTCCATATCCATCAGGAAACTAAGCTCGCCAAGCATATACCAACATGCAGTGGTGCTAGTGCCAACAATGTTCTCGCACTACTCGACTCAGAGGGAAAATCTGATGAACGGCCAAAGCCCTTCCAGCAGCCGTGAAGGAGGAGAACCAACAAGAAATACAAGTATGAATATGATAATTTGGAATTGTAGAGGCGCAAGTAGCGCATATTTTAGGAGAGCTTTTAGAGCAATGTTGGACTACCATAGACCTAGTATTGTAGCCCTACTGGAAACAAAGCTAGACGACCACCATGGCTTAGTGCAAGACTTTGGTTATTCTAGCCTTATTCAAACGCCCGCTAATGGAAACTCTGGAGGTATTGTGCTCATGTGGAACAATGGAGATACTATGGTGGATCAAATCGGAGGTACGGACCAAGAAATACACGCCATGGTTTAAGGTAAGTAACTCTACAAAGAGCTGGTTGTGCTCTATTATTTATGCTAGCAATTTATTAGAGGAGAGGCTAATTCTATGGCAAAACCTCAAGACTGCGGCTAATAGTTTTAAAGGGCCATGGTTAGTGGCGGGAGACTTTAATGAAGTCACTCGCGCCTCTAAATAATTTGGAGGTTTACACGTCAATAATAATCGTGTATCTTACTTCCTAGAATGTATAAACCATTGCGGCCTAATAGACCTAGGGTTTAAGGGTCCAAAGTTTACTTAGACAAATAAAAGAAAGAATTGTAATAAAATAATTATGGAACGACTTGATAGATGTATAGCAAACATGGAATGGTTAGAATTATTTCAGGGCGCTAGTGTTAAACACCTAACTAGAACCCACTCGGACCATTGCCCTTTAAAGTTAGACCTATTCAAAAGCTTCCCCACTAATAGCAATATTTTTAGAATCGAGTCTATGTGGTTATCCCACCCTACCTTCAAAACCTTAGTGGAAAGTTCTTGGACGGGTCAACCAAATATAACTAAAGCCATAGATAATTTTTGTACTGAGGTAAGGGATTGGAACCAAAATACTTTTGGCAACATCTTCAAAAGAAAGAACAAAATACTAGCAAGATTAAAAGGCATCCAGACTTCTCAAAGTTTCCCTCACAGCCAATTCCTAATAAACCTTGAGAATGAGCTCCTAAATGAGTATAATTTAGTACTCATGCAGGAGGAGGAATTCTGGAAACTGAAATCTAGGGTTCAGTGGGTCCAGGACGGGGACACGAACACAAAATTTTTCCATATCACTACTATGCAAAGAAGAAGGAAAAACAGAATCCTCTGTTTAAAAGATGAAACGGGGAACTGGTACCAAGATCAAAACCAAACAAAATACCTCATTACTAAATATTATATGGACATGTACTCTACAGGGCATAAACAATCCACTCTTAACATAACTTATATGAACTACAACACTAAAATTAGTGAACATGACCACCCATACCTAAGCAGTACCCCTACTGTAGAGGAAATAAAAGGGCCCATGGATTCCTTTAAACCCTACAAATCCCCTGGTCCAGACGGCCTCCATCCTTTCTTCTACCAAAAAATATTGGAAGGAGACTAGTAATCATCTTATCAACTTCTGCCAGGAAGTGTTTAAATCTAAAAGAATGCTAAAAAGC